GTCCTTCATGTCCTTTGTTAGTTGTATTCCTAGGTATTTATTCTCTTTGTAGCAATTGTGAATGGGAATTCACTCATGATTTGGCTCTTTGTTTTTCTGTTATTGGTGTATAGGAATGATTATGATTTTTGCACATTGATTTTGTATCCTGAGAATTTGCTGAAGTTGCTTATCATCTTAAGGAGATTTTGGGCTGAGATGATGGGGTCTTATAAATATACAATCATGTCATGTACAAATAGAGACAATTTGACTTCTTCTTTTCCTAATTGAATACCCTTTATTTCTTTTTCTTGCCTGATTGCTCTGGCTAGAACTTCCAATACTATGTTGAATAGGATTGGTGAGAGAGGGCACCCTTGTCTAGTACCAGTTTTCAAAGGGAATGCTTCCATTTTGCCCATTCAGTATGATATTGGCTGTGGGTTTGTCATAGATAGCTTTTATTATTTTGAGATATGTTCCATCAATACCTAGTTTATTGAGAGTTTTTAGCACAAAGGACTGTTGAATTTTATTGAAGACCTTCTCTGCATCTATTGAGATAGTCATGTGGTTTTTGTCTTTGGTTCTATTTATGTGATGGATTATGTTTATAGATTTGGGTATGTTGAACCAGCCTTGCGTCCCTGGGATGTAGCTTACTTGATCGTGATGGATAATCTTTTTGATGTGCTGTTGCATTTGGTTTGCCAATATTTTATTGAAGATTTTTGCATCGATGTTCATCATGGATATTGGCCTGAAATTTTCATTTTTACTTGTGTCTCTACCAGATTTTGGTGTCAGGATGATACTGGTCTCCTAAAATGAATTAGGGAGTATTCCCTCTTTTTGTATTATTTGGAATAGTTTCAGAAGGAATGGTACCAGCTCCTCTTTGTACATCTGGTAGAATTCGGCTATGAGCCATCTAGACCTGGACTTCTTGTGGTTGGTAGGCTATTAATTGCCGCCTCAACTTCAGACCTTGTTATTAGTCTATTCAGAGATTCAACTTCTTCCTGGTTTAGTCTTGGGAGGGTGTATGTGTTCAGGAATTTATCCATTTTTTCTAAATTTACTGGTTTATATGCATAGAGGTGTTTGTAGTAATCTCTGATGGTAGTTTGTATTTCTGTGGAATCGGTGGTGATACCCCCTTTATCATTTTTTATTGCATCTATTTGATTCTTCTCTCTTTCCTTTTTTATTAGTCCGGCTATTTTTATTGGTTTATCTATTTTGTTGATCTTTTCAAAACACCAGCTCCTTGATTTATTGATTTTTGAAGGGTTTTCTTGTGTCTCTGTCTCCTTCAGTTCTACTCTGATCTTAGTTACTATTTCTTGTCTTCTGCTAGCTTTTGAATTTGTTTGGTCTTACTCCTCTAGTTCTTTTAATTTTGATGATAGGGTGTTGATTTGCGATCTTTCCTTACTTCTCACATGGGCATTTATTGCTATAAATTTCCCTCTAGACACTGCTTTAAATGTGTCCCAGAGATTCTGGTATGTTGTGTCTTAATTCTCATTGGTTTTTTTTTTTTTTTGAGACGGAGTTTCGCTCTTGTTACCCAGGCTGGAGTGCAATGGCGCGATCTCAGCTCACCGCAACCTCCGCCTCCTGGGTTCAGGCATTCTCCTGCCTTAGCCTCCTGAGTAGCTGGGATTACAGGCACGTGCCACCATGCCCAGCTAATTTTTTGTATTTTTAGTAGAGATGGGGTTTCACCATGTTGACCAGGATGGTCTCGATCTCTTGACCTCGTGATCCACCCACCTCGGCCTCCCAAAGTGCTGGGATTACAGGCGTGAGCCACCACGCCCGGCCGTCTCATTGGTTTTGCAGAACATTCTCTGTCTCTGTCTCTGTCTCTGTCTCTCTCTCTCTCTCTCTCTCTCTCCCCCCCCCGCCCCGTGTGTGTATGTGTGTGTGTGTGTGTGTGTGTGTGTGTGTTGATTATAACCATTCTAATCGGTGTGCGGTGGTATCTCATTGTTGTCTTGATTTGCATTTCCCTAATGACTAGTGATGCTGAGCATCTTTTTATGTGCTTATTGTTCATTTGTATGTCTTGCTTGGGGACTTGTCTATTCAAGTACTGGCCATCTTTTTACTGATTTGTTTGTCTTTTTGATGTTGAGTTGTAGGACTTCTTTATATATTCTGTATATTATATCCTTATCTGATATATGATTTGCAAATGCTTTCTCTTATTCTGTAGGTTTTCTTTTCACTTTCTTAATAATGTCCTTTCATACATTGAAGTTTTAAATTTTGAGGAAGTCCAAATTTGCTTGTGCTTTTTATATCATAAAGTTTTTCAGTCTGGCTGATGAGAACAGGCACTATCCTGGACCTATGTGAGTAGCAGTCATGGTTACCTTTGGTCTTTTCAAGTGGTTCTGTCATTCACAACTGTGCTGGTCAGAACTCAGCTGAAGACTCAGGGGAACCTTTCGCAGATCTCTGTCTCCCAGAACTCTTTCTCTGTGCAGCTCCCTCCTCTCCAGTACTATCGCCTGTAAATTCTAGCTGTCTTTGTCTTCCCAGAGTCTCAGCTCTATCTCCTCAACTCAGGGAAACTGCAGGGCTCTGCCTGGGTTTCCCCTGCCTATACTGCATTCTACGTTAAGGTAGGGAAATTGTGGGGCTCACCTTATTTGTTTACTGTCCTTCAGTGATTATTGTCCTCTGCTGCCTGAAGTCGAGTGTCTTGAAAGCAGTTGTTTTATATATTTTGTCTGATTTTTGTTTGTTTCAGGTGGAAGTGTAAATATAGTGTGTTCTTTATTTTCAGATGCTCTTCGTATATTTAGGATATCAATTTTCTGTTTGTTTTACTTTGGTCTTCATTTCTAAAATGATTTTTTTCTTGTATTTCTAATTTTTTCCTAAGTTATCTAATATGTCATCAAGTCTTTCTTTTTTTAAATAACTTTATTTTTTAGTTTTTTAAATTCTGATTTATAGATTCTTCATAGATGCTATCATTTTCTTAATTTCTTTTAGCTTGTATTTTGTTTCCATCTGTCTTACAGGCCTCTTTCTGGAGTGGTTTTGTGATCTGTAGTGATATTTTTCTGCTCCTTATTCTTTTTTTCTTATAACTTTGCATTTTTTTTTTCTTGAGATGGAGTCTCACTCTGTTGTCCAGGCTGGAGTGCAGTGGCATGATCTCAGCTCACCGCAACCTCTGCCTCCCAAGTTCAAGTGATTTTTCTGCCTCAGCCCCCAAGTAGCTGGGACTACAGACACACATCTGTGGCCCATTTTTAAGTGAAATAAGTTTTCTTATAAATTCAAGTAGGAAGGATGGGTCAGATATTATTTTTTGCTTTATGGCTCTAGAGTTCCCGTTTTAGTTTTTACAATGTGACTATGTCTCTGTCTCATCTATCTATCTATCTATCTATCTATCTATCTTTTATCAGTCTATTTCATTATTTCTCTATAATCTACCTAATATCTATCTATCATCCATCCATCTACTATCATCTCTCCACTATCTACCTACCTACTTATCCATCTCTCCATCCATCCATCCATCCATCTCCTCATACTTTCTGAGTCTGCCTGTCTTTTCCACCCTTATCCAGACACATTATTTCCCAGCTACTCCTAATTTTGGATTCTACTGCCAGCAATTGATGCTCAGTAGGGGACTTTGTCCTGGGAAGGGCCTTAGATTGTTAGCATAGTAACTTCCTGGGGCTTAGACAACTCCAGCATCTTCAGATCCTACTAAGGTCCGCTTATACTCACCTATGAATCGTGGCCTTCAGCTGCATTTTCTAGTTAGTATCTGCTGGAAATTTTAGTTCATCAGCTCTTGGGCCTTCAGACCCCCTCTCACCTTTCTTCTGCTTCCTCTTACTCAGACATTGACATCAAATGGGTCTTGTCACCTAGATTTGTTGCGGATGTTGTATGTGAGTCTTTAGTTTTGTCTTTCTAGCTGCTCTATTTCTATGCAAGGAATTCAGAGAGATTAGAATGTTTTACTGCTGCAACTGCTATCCTCACTGTGATTATTGTTTTTGTATTAATCTTTCCTGCCAGCCCTCCACCACTCACATTCACACGTATACTGACCAGCCAATTATCTCCCATCCTTCGATGTCCTTCCTTCCCTACTTCTCTCCATCATACAATCTCCTGCTTATGTTGTATTGCCTCCAGGAAGCCTTCCCTGACACCCCGAGTGAGATCAGTAGCTTCATCTTTTGTGTCCTTGCAGCAGGCTGAATGTCCCTGTCTTACAGGTCATTTCATGCCACTGACTTTCCCACCTGTCCTTCCTGTTGGATGGTCAGCATCTCAAAGCAAGAACCTTGTCCATTCCTCCTGTCCTGAGTGCCTGGCCCAGGACCCAGCTCAGAGCAGACACTTTGTTTTTGTTTTGTTTTTGAGATAGAGTTTTGCACTGTCTCCCAGGCTGAAGTGCAGTGGCATGATCTCAGCTCACTGCAACCTCTGCCTCCCAAGTAGAGTAGACACTTTGAAAAGGTCATCATGCGTGATTAGATTATACTGGATGCTGTCAGTCCACCTCAGAGCTAGTTAGTGCAGGATTAACATGGCTGTTCCTTTATGTGTGAAGTGTACTGTAGTTGACAAGCAGCTTTGCACATACTACAGCCCCTCTCTTTGGGTCTGGTGCACTTGCAATACTTGACCCTCAGTCATTGTTTTTGCATGTTCATTTGCCTGCCTGTTTATCTAGTGTGTCTCCATCCATCACACTGTGAGCTCACCAAGTACAAGGACCAAGTCTCCTTCATGTCAATAGTAAGCCCAGTGCCTGGCATCGAATAGGAACCAGGAAGGGTCTCTTGCATGAATGATCGAAAGGCATTCCTGCATTCCTGCTGGCCCTAGGCTGGGGCTGTTCCATTCTTTTCACTGGGTCCTGAGCTTCCTGACTAGAGGTCAGCATGAGGTACCACAACTTCCCTGGGACTCCCCGAACCCAGTGGTAAGAGAAGCTCACAGCGTCTCTGGCCCTGTCTCTCCAGCCTTTGAGCTTCTGATTGGAGGCCTTGAAGTTGGCCTGTCTCACTTCCCCTTCTTTGCCTGCCTCTCGTCGGAGTTCCAGCTGGTCAGCTCCACCCTGGGCTTCTGCTACTCTCTTATCTGGTAAGACAGTCTCTGCCTGCCCCCGCTCCCCCGACTCCTTATGCATGACTGAACTCTGGGCGCAGGGCTGGAGGTGACCTGGGAGCTCTCCTTGGGGGACACCTTTGCCCAGAACTGAGGCCCAGGGAGGGCAAGAGTGACCTATCCATGGTCCCATTGTGGGGACTGCATTGGAGGCTTCAGAAGGTCAGGCTGGCATTCTGTCTGCTTTACACCAGGCTGCTTATGATTAGAGTGTTCCTGGAAGTCAAGGATTTAGGAAAACTCACTTCTTTTTTTTTTTTCCACATAAATTATAATCTTATTTTATTTATTTCTATTTCAATAGCTTTTGGGGTATAAGTGGTTTTGGATTTTAAGGATGAATTGTATCGTAGTGAAGTCTGAGATTTTCTTGCATCTGTCAGCCTAGTAGTGGACACTATGCCTGATCTGAAGCTTTTTCTCCTTCTCCCTGCTCCCACCCTTCCCCCTTCTGAGTCTCCAGAGTCCATGATACCACTCCGTATGCCTTTCCACACCCACAGCTTAGCTTCTACTTAGAAGTAAGAATACAGTATTTGGTTTTCCGTTCCTGAGGAAAACTCATTTCTTTTTTTTTTTTGAGACGGAGTTTCGCTCTTGTTACCCAGGCTGGAGTGCAATGGCACGATCTCGGCTCACCGCAACCTCCGTCTCCTGGGTTCAGGCAATTCTCCTGCCTCAGCCTCCTGAGTAGCTGAGACTACAGGCACACGCCACCATGCCCAGCTAATTTTTTTTTTTTTTTTTTTTTTTTTTTTTTTTTTTTTTTTTTTAGTAGAGACGGGGTTTCACCATGTTGACCAGGATGGCCTCGATCTCTTGACCTTGTGATCCACCCGTCTCGGCCTCCCAAAGTGCTGGGACTACAGGGAAAACTCATTTCTATAAGCTGCTGGGGACCCCACTGGAAGACAAAGGAGCCCCTTTAGAGGCTCCTCATCAAAGCTGCCATGGCTTCTCTCGGGAGCCTTGGAGAAAGTTCCCATGCCTTAGCTGGGCATTCAGGGCCATCACAGTTTAGCCTCTCCCTCTCCCTCCCTCCCCGAACAGTATCTAGCACATACCTCCAGCCACACAAGACTCCTACATTCCTTCATCCATCTACTTATTCATTCAACAACCATTGCATCCCTACTACGAGACGAAATAACCCCGGCAAACGAGACAGACTTGCATGAACCAGGTGTTCCGGCCTCTTTGTCTCTTTGTTCCCATTCCCTGTGTGGGTCATGTCTAGGGATAAGTATACACTCCTGCTTTGAGGACAATAACTTCTACCAGATGCAAGCTTCTTGACCTTCATGTTGAGCTCTGTGACCTCAGACTTGGCATAGAACTGGCACCAGAGAACAGTTGTTGACGGAAAACCCCTCCAACAATTCTACTCTCCAGCCTCTGAGACTCATTTCTTTGTTTCCAACTCCTTTGCTGGGCTCTTTCCCCCATCCAGCATTTTCTATGGGGCTGGGATTCCCAGGCCCCACTTAGTCAGAGATGACGGGCAGGGGGCTCACAAGCAATTGACACACCAGTGGCTACAACTGTAAAGTTTGTGAGTGGCTTGCTTTTTAAAAATTTAAATGGAAGGTATCCAGGGTTAGATGTGGCGTAACATCGTCTCATCAGCCTGTGACAGACGTTTGCCCAGGAGATAACAGGGTGGTGGGAATTGCTCAGCAGCTTGGGCACCATGGGAGTATGGCCAAAGCTGGAACAGAACCAGGAATGCATGTATGGGCGGGCGTGGGTAAAGCTTCAAGGCTCATCACTTCTGAGCAAGAAGAGCCCAGGTCACAGAGTCGGGAGACCTGGGTTTGCCCATTCCCATATGTGACTTGGATAAATCCCTTACCAACTCTGGACTTCCAGCTCCCATTTGAATGATGATGGGAGGGAAGATGAGCTCTCTAAGGTCTTCCTGCTCTGCCATCATGGATTCCAACAGTATGTCCTCCATGAGGGCAGGTGAATGAATGAATTTAGTGTGCGCCTACTTTGGCATAAGCAGGGTGGCTGATCAGGGAGAGATGTCCATGGAGGCCTGGGAATCAGCCTTCCTGAGGGGGACAGGTAGGTGGGGGTGGGTGCAATCTGAGCCATTTTTACAGGGGCTGCTCCTGGGGCTGTGTTGGGAGAGAACCCCAGTGCCCCAAACTCTGTTTCTGTTCCTGTAGGTTTGCTGTCACCATTCTTCAAGTTTCACAGTGTCCCCATGGGCAGGTGAGTCTCTGTTGGCCTTTTGGGGTTTTCAGTCCTATCACTGTGGTCAGCTTGCTGTGTGATCTTGAACAAGCCTCAGTCACTTCTGGGGCTCCACTTTCTCATGTATGTAAAAAGGTAGTAGTTGTCATTCACAGTGCTTCCATTTATATAGCACCCGTGTTCATCATGGTGTGCATTCACAGACAGGCGTTTTCTTATTTACTCCTCTGAGCAGCCCTGCAAGGTTGGGAAGTTCATCAAAACTAGTTCACAGGTGAGGAACTAGTATAGTGAGGCTCAAGTACATTAAGTAACTCATAGGAAGTAGCAGAATTGGGAATTGGGGCCAGGTCTGGCTGACTCCAAAGTCAATTTCTTTTCACTCTATATAGCTCCAATCTCTTTTTCTATAAAATGGAAGACTTGGACCAGATGAGCCCCTTCCAATTTTGCCGTGCATTGTCCTCAGAGTTGGTGGGAACTGGTTCATCTCTTTAGCCCTGGACCTCAGTAAAGAGGGATGTAACAGTGCACCTAGAAATGCTACCATGCAGGTTGCGGGGAGCTCACAAAAGCCACCTGGGTCAGGAGTGCATATGTGCAGACTTTTATGTTTGGTACAACCTCAATTATAGAGCATCTAGATATATAGATGAAAGCCACAGAAATGCTGGCAGTGGTTATATCTAGCCATAAGCATATGTTGGAGAGGAGGATCAAGGGAAGACATGAGCCCTGCATCTCAGCATATCTCCATCCTGCACCTGAACATCACAACCTCAAATCCCGATTTCCCATGGGAGGTAATACGACTCTGGAAATGTAAAAAACATGAAACCAACCAGTAAAGTGTAAAAGATAAGTCACAATATTATTTGCTTTGAGACAGTGAAAAACAATCTTTTTCAGCAAAATAAAATTAAAAACACAGAAAATCTATGAGTACCTTCTTAAGAGAACTGTTACTCTTCCCTCAGCTTGTGTTGGTCCCAGCCTTATAGCAATTATGGGTTTTTTCTTCCTCTGTACCTCCCTCCTTCCATTTCTTCCTCTCTCTTTGTTTCTCCTTCTCCCTCTCAGTCTCTCTCCCTCTTTACCTCCTCCTCCCATCTACCTACCCACCTCTGGCTCTCTCACTCATATATTTTCCCAAAGAAGCATTTATTAATAGCTCCTAATAAGGACAAAATACCTTGAAAACTAGTTTTGTTTTGAGACAGGGTCTTGCTCTGTGACCCAGACTAGAAAGCTAGCTTTACAAAATAAAATGGGGGTGCCAAGACTTGAATCCAGGGTTGCTGTCTTCCAAGTTCACTGCCCATTCCAATGACAGGGGTTTGGGAGATGGGGGATTGGCCACTGACTGCCAAGCCTGAGAGAGGGGGCCTCGCTGGAGCAAGCTGGGGCAGGCAGAGTCCTGCAGCTTCAGCAGGTGGCTCGGCCCCACCTGCCTGGAGCCACGTTGTGGTATGCTTCTGTTGCAGTTTGTGGGAAAGTATGAGACCCTCGTGTTCTACTGGCCCTCGCTGCTGTGCCTCGCCTTCCTGCTGGGCCGCTTCCTGTATATGTTTGTCAAGGCTCTGAGGGTGCACCTTGGCTGGGAGCTCCAGGTGGTGAGTACTAAGTATAAGCACTGCATGGACTGATGGGTTTCATCCCTACAACAGCCAGGGAGGCAGGCAAGTACTGTTACTACACCTCACATTCTGAATTCAGAAACTTGGGTGCATGGAGGTGAGTTGAGCTGCCTGAGGTTCCTAGCTGGGAACCATGAAAATCTGAGACAAGTCTCAGTTAATTTAGAATGTTTATTTTGCCAAAGTTGAGGACACACACCCATGACACAGCCTCATGAGATCCTGACAACATGTGCCCTGTGTGGTCAGAGCACACTTTGGTTTTATGCATTTTAGGGAGACATGAGACATCCATCAACAGCTGTAAGATGAACACTGGTTCTGTCTGAAAAGGTGGGACAACTAGAAGGTGCTTCAGGACATAGGTAGATGAGACAAATGATTATATTCTTTTGAGTTTCTGATTAGCCTCTCTAAAGGAGGCAATCAGATATGCATTTATCTCAGTAAGTAGAGGGGTGACTTTGAATAGCATGGAAGACAGTCTTGCCCTAAGCAGTTCCCAGCTTGACTTTTCCCCTTAGCTTAGTGATTTGGGGGGCCCAAGATATTTTCCTTTCACATAGCTAACCTGTAGCATATCCAGGAATGGAACCCAGACATTTCACTTATGGAGCATCTTCCTTAACCACTGGCAAACATAACCTCTTTGGCATGAGGCAAATTCAACAGTGGGGTGTCGGGGAGAGGAAAAGACCTATCTTGACCACAACATGGCTAAATCCAAAAGAGCAACTCCTACCCAAAATCCTGCCCTCTGTGGCCATTGCCCCCACTTAATGAGATCAAAAGCCTAACAAGAATTTATGAGCCAAAGTGTAAGCCTGTCTGCTGTCTCACAGGAAGAAAAGCCCGTCCTGGAAGCGCACCAGGCAGAGCACGTCAAGCAGCTCCTGAGGACACCCCGCCCACAGTAAGCCACAGTTCGTTTATTCACCTACAGGTTTGCATCCACTCTGATGAGCCCTGATGATGTGACAGAGCCTAGGATGACTAGAAAGGCACTGCAGTGATCAAGACCCTCATTTGCTAAAAACAGATACCTAATTCAAACTGGATTGAAGCAAGAAAGGAAACTTATGGGCTCCCATCACTAAAAAGTCTAGAGGTAGTCAGTTTCAGGCAAGCTGGATCCACAGGCTTAACTGATATTATCAAAGCCAGGTCTTTCTCCCTCCATCTCCCCTCAGCTCTGCTTTAATGTGTCGGCCTCCCATTAGAGTGGGATTCCTCCACAAGGTGGCGCCCAGACTCTCTGTGTTTATACACTAGTGGTTTAAGCCCAGAAGACAGACGAATGCTGCTTTCCAGTTATTCAAATGAAAGTCCCACAAACGTGTTTCACTGGATCAAATTGGATCACACACCTCCGTGGAACCAGTAACTATGGCAGGGATTGGAGTGCACTGATTGGCTAAGCCTGAGTCACATGTCCCTCCATTTCCTCCAGAGCTAGGAAGTGGGATCAGCATCTCTTACCCAGGGACAGGGAGTGGTGGTTCCCCAAATAGAAACTGAGGTGTTAGGCTGGGTGTGGCGGCTCATGCCTGTAATCCCAGTACTTTTGGGAGGCTGAGGCGGGAGGATCGCTTGAGCTCAGGAGTTCAAGACCAGCCTGGGCAACATGACGAGACCCCATCTCTACAAAAAATGAACTATTTAGCCAGGTGTGGTGCAGGTCTGTGGTCCCAGCTACTTGGGAGACTGAAGTGGGAGGATCACTTGAGTCAGGAGGTCAAGGCTGCAGTAAGTGGTGACCACACTACTGCACTCAGCAGTGACCATGTTACTCCAGCCTGGGCAACAGAGCAAGACCCTGTATCAAAACAAAACAAAACAAAACAAAACTGAGGTGCTGTTACCAGTAGAGGAGGATATTCATGTTGCCAGGCAAAAGCACCAGATACAGAATCATACAAGCCACCACACACCTGCCCCTTTCACTATGTATGTGGACATATGCCCCAGAGAAGGGATGTGCCTGGTCCATGGTCATATAGTGGCAAAGCTAGTACTTTGGTTAGAATTCAGTTTGGCTACATGTAGTAGAAACCCCAAAATAATAGTGGCACAACCAAGAGAGAGATTTATTACTTTCTCTTATAAAATAACTCTAAAGGTGAGGAATCTGTCCTGACCCTGTACTGCCTACCATGACCATTCACCAATCACCTGCCGTTATGCTCTAGCATCATGTGTGTGCTTCCCATCCTCAACGCTGTCTCATGGTCCAGTGTGGCTGCTGGAGCTCCAGCTTGGACCGCCCACCACATCTGCATTTCAGACGGCAGGCAAGGCAAGGCAAAGAAGCTTTCCCAGCTGTGTTAGTTCCATCTGAGCGTTCCCTCCAAAGCCCCACACTACACTTGTGGCCACATTTTGTTGGCCTGTATTTAGTCTGGTCACTCTGAGCTGCAAGACAGATTGGGAACTTTAATCTTTTAGTTTGGTGAATTTCTGCACAAAATAAAATCCAGTTTTTGTCTTTAAGAATAAGGGAAAAATGAAAACCATGGAAGCTAACAGTGATCTCTTTTTACAATATACTCTAAGATAAAAGGAAGGTGGGGCTATTTTCAGATGAATCAGGCACTTGTTTTCCTACCAGTCTCTCATCTTTTGATACTTATTTCTCATCCACAGAGAAGAAAAAAAGTCTTGGTTCCAAACCAGGATATACGAGTGGGATCCCTGCTTTCAATTCCCAAGCAGAATGATTGGAACCATTGTATTGGCTTTCATCTGCCTGTACCTTGTAAGTAGCTCTAAGAAAAGCTTTTTATATTTTATGAATGGGGCAGGGTTGGGGCTAGGGTTATGCAGTCTTTGAGGCAAGCAGCATGTTCCTAAAGAGTTGAGTCAAAACTGAATCTTGGTAAATCAAAGAAGTACAATGTTTCAATCCTACTATTTTGATTCCAAGGACACTTTTACCCACATGGTGAATATGACCAGTAAAAATGATCCACAAAAAATAAAACTCATGATGGTTAAAGTGCCACATGGTAAAATTTAGTATCAACTAAAACCTGATGAAAAAAATATATATTTAAGAATGTTTTGATATGCAAAATTTGACCCAGGAAAGTTTACTTGGTAGAACTAATGATCCCTAAAGAAAACTCACAATAGTAGAATCTGTGATTAATAAATTCTTCCGTGAACAAAAATCAAATCATTTAAATGTAAAATAATTGATTCTGATGAAAATAATTTCAATTATTTTTCAATAACCGAATTTAAAATTGTTGAATTTATTATAAATTAATAATTGAATGTATTTTTATTGAACTAAAAATAAAAGCAGATAACTAGAGTTGGTTTACTGTACTATATTTTTAAGCAGATTAAACCTTCTTTTTTAAGTTTGCTTTCTCAACAAGAAATTTTAAATACTGGCATAATTCCGACTTCAATGTTTTATTAAGCATAGAATCAAAACATTTTGTGTGGTCAAGTTATCTGAGGTAAAATGGCTGAGTTAAAAGTAGGGTCAAAAATGGATGCATGAAAATGGCAAGCCTAAATTGTCTTCTCTTCCTTTCAAATGTACCAGGAAAATACCTATTTAAGTAAATCCTGTGATTAAGTTTTTAGGTGAGTGTATTTGTTAGGTTCTGCTGATGTACCAGATAACCTCCTAAATTCCTGTGGCTTAACAGTATGTATTTTTTATCTACACAACAGTGATGAGTTGGGTGTTCAGGTAAGGGAAGATATACTCATTCAGGAACCCAGAATTCTTCCATCATGTGCCTTCACCATCCTGGAGAGCCTCATCACCATCTATCTGCACATAGTCAAGAAGGGGGCAAAGCAAGGAGAGATGTATGTGAAGGGTTTCCATGGACTAGGTGTGGAAGTATCACATATTCCTTCCACTCTTCTTCCATTGGCAAGAACCTAGTCATGTGGCCATATCCAATATAAGGGAGACTGGGCAATGTAGTCTAGCTCCGTGCCCACAGAAGGGAGAATGGATTTTAAGGGACAACAGTAACTTTCAAGTTCTCTGCAACAATGAATAACACATTTGGAATGATATTGTTTCTTAAGTATTTATGGAATATCTACTCTGTGCCAGCACTGTGCTAAGAGTTGGAAGAGGGCAAAGAGCTGATTCAGCTCAGTCCTGGGCTAGGAGAACCTTATGGTCTATAAGAAGGATATAAGACATGGTATGAGGTACCTGCCATCTTAAGAGAGAAAAAGGATAAGGTGAAATGCTCTAGAAGTTTAGCAAATCATTCAAGATCTAGCAGCTGCTTGAACATGATAGTGTATGAGCTCCATTTTCAGAGATAAACACAATTAGGTTGTTGGAGTGAAATGCCAGCAGGAACTATAGAAGCAGTGGCATAACAACAGGATGTTAAGATGTTGGGCAGCTATGACATTTGTACAAGAAACAGTACTTTCTCCAATGTGCCAAGATCAGTGAAGGGAATCAATGGGAGATAGGGATGGAATTGTCCCCCAGATCACCCCTTATTCAAAGTTAGTCATTCTTTTTTACTGGTTCTATGAATGTTTGTAGAGTTTCTTGAGCCTTTATGGGCCCTTGTCTTGTTTTCTGGAGGGTAAACAACAGATCATGAAGTGACTCCTATCTCCCAAGAACACAAAATCCCATTCATCTTAGAGTAGCCAGGGTCTAGAATCATTTTCAGAAGAGTTTTGAATCCCTGGAAGACCCTGGCCTCAACCTCAAAGAAAAATCCACGTGTTATTCCCATGATGAGCTGGACTAAAGTAAGACCTGGAAACTTTGCTCTCTGTCCCCAGTTCATTGTCATCGAGTTCTGCATGTTTGTGTATGTGAGAGATGAGCTGGAGATGTTTGAAAACAAGCTGGAGAGCTACATCACCTCCGTGAACCATTCAGGGATCCTGACGCCAGCCATTCTGCAGGTGAAAGAGCTGATCAGCGTTACCAAAGGTAAAATCATAAGCCACCTGTTCCCACACCTGGTGTGGGAAACTGAGTGAGGGGCTTGTAACTAATGGCAGGTGCACATGTGTAGTATTTGTGGCTGCTAGTATTGATATACCTGGCTGAGATGACCACACTTGGAGAAAAATGTGTTAGAGCTGGTTTACCTCCCTGGGTTGACTAGATAAACAAAGGGGTCAAGACACAGCCATTTCTTTGATGAAGCTGGAACTGAAATGAACATGCCCTGAAAATTTTCTTACCTTAAATTGCCCATTTTGCCTCAATGCCAATGGAAAATACTAAAATGATTCTATATTTTCTATTTTGAAAAAATGAAACACCAAGCCTTGGTCTTTCTTTATGAAATGTTCATTTATGTCTTTCAAATTTTACTTGAAAGTCACTTAAAAATAGATTTCTTTAACTTAGTCTCTTGTCTAACTGAAATTTTGTATCCTTTGACCCACATCTCCCCAATTACACCCCTCACACCCCTGCCTGCCACTGGTAACCACCATTCTACTCTGCTTTTATGAGTTCACCTCTTTTAGATTCCACATATAAGTGAGATCATGCAGTATTTGTCTTTCTGTGCTTGGCTTACTTCACTTAATGTAATGTTCTCCAGGTTCATCCATGTTGTTACATATGGCAGTATTCCTTCTTTTTAAAGGTTCAGTAGTATTCCATTGTATACAATGTATGACGTATTTTCTCTATTCATTCATCTGTTGTTGGACACTTAGGTTGATTTCATATGTTGGCTATTGTGAACAGTGCTGTACTGAAAATATGAGTGCAGATATCTCTTCAATATACTGATTTCATTTCCTTTGGATATGTACCAAGTAGTGAGATTGGTGTATCATATGGTAATTGCTTTTTTACCTTTTTGAGGAAAGGTTGTACTAATTTACATTCACACTAACGGTATACTAGAGTTCCTTTTTCCCCACATCCTTGCCAACACTTATCTCTTGTCTTCTTTATAATAGCCATTCTCACAAGTATAAGGTGATATTTCATTGTGGTTTTGATTTGTATTTCCCTGATCATTAGTGATGGTGAAGATTTTTTTATATGCTGGTTGGCCATTGGTATGTCTTCTTTTGAGAAATGTCTATTCAGGTCCTTTTCCCTAGACAATGAGAAAGGCACTTTGTCTTAAAATGGAAATGACATATTGCAGTGATATATCTATGGATATACAAGTTTTTTGTATATATTTTTATATATTTTGGGTATATATATATAGGAGTGGAATCGCTGGTTAAACATATGACAACTCTCTCTTTAACCTTTTGTTGAACTACTAGACTGTTTTCAAAAGTAGCTACATCACTGTTTATTTGAACCAGCATTGTGGGAATCCCAATTTCTCTGCATCCTCACCAGCACTTATTATTATCCATCTTTTTATTTATGGCCATCTAGTGGAGATGCAGTGGAATCTCACTGTTGTTTTTATTTTCATTTCTTTAGTGGCTAATAATGTTTAGTATCTTTACATGTACTTTTACATGTACTGACCATTTGTATATATTATTTTGAGGAATATCTATTCAGATTCTTTGATCATTTGAAAATTATATTATTTGTCTGTTTATTTATTGAGCTATAAGTGTCCTTACATAGTTTGTATACAAATCCCTTATGAAATACATGATTTGAAAATATTTTACAAATCCCTTATGAAATACATGATTTGAAAATATTTTCTACTACTTTTCAGGTTGCTTTTTCAGTTTTTTTAATGGTGCCTTTTGAAACACAGATGCTTCCAATTTTGATGAAGCCAAATATATCTGTTTTTTTCTTACATCACTTGTGCTTTTGGTGTCTTATCTAAGACACCATTGCCTAACCCAAGGTCACAAGGATTTTTCTCATATTTTCTTCTAAGACTTTTAAGTTTTAGCTCTTATATTTAGGCCCTCGATCCATTTTGAGCTCATTTTTATGTATGGTGTGAGGTAGGAGTCTAACTTCATTGTTTTGCATGTGAATATCAAGTTGTTCCAGCACCATTTTTCAAAAAACACATTTTTGCTCCATTGAATTGTCTTGTTATCTGTGTTGATAATAAATTGACCATAAGTATGAGGGTTTAATTTGGATTCTCAATTCTATTCCATTGATCTATTTGTGTATGCCTTTTTTTTTTTTTTTTTTTTTTTGAGACGGAGTTTCGCTCTTGTTACCCAGACTGGAGTGCAGTGGTATGATCTTGGCTCACCACAACCTCCGCCTCCTGGGTTCAGGCAATTCTCCTGCCTCAGCCTCCTGAGTAGCTGGGATTACAGGCACACACCACCATGCCCAGCTAATTTTTAGTATTTTTAGTAGAGACAGGGTTTCACCATGTTGACCAGGATGGTCTTGATCTCTTGACCTCGTGATCCACCCGCCTCGGCCTCCCAAAGTGCTGGGATTACAGGCTTGAGCCACCGCACCCGGCCTATTTATGTATTCTTATGTCTGTATCACAGTGCCTTCATTGCTGTAACTTTGTAATAAGTTTGAAATTAGGAACAGTAAGTCCTGTAATTTTATTTCTCTTTTTCAGGATTTTATTGCCTATTCTAGGTCCCTTCATTTTTATATGAATATTAACATTAGCTTCTCAATTAATGCTAAGATGGAACTGGAATTCTGATAGGAACTGAGTTGAATCTATAGATCCATTTGGATAGTATTGCTGTGTTAACAATGAATATCCTATATGTGAACATGGGAAGTCTTTCCTGTAATTTAGGTCTTCTTTAAGTTTTTTCAAAATCTTTTGTGATTTACAGTGTACAAGTAGTACATTCCTTTGCTAAATTTATTATTTTATTTTTTTTGATACTATTGTAAATGTAATCATTTTCTTATTTAATTTTCAGATTGTTTATTGCTTGTTTCTAGAAATACAATTGACTTTTATATATTTCTCTTATGTCCTGTAAACCTTGCTGTACTCATTTATTAGTTCTAATAGTTTGTTATGTATTTCCTGGTTTTTCTATATATGAGATCATAGAGAGTTTTATTTTTTCCTTTCCAATCTGGATGCATTTCATTTTCTTTTTCTTGCCTAATTGCATTGGCCCAAACCTTTAGTACAATGTTGACTAGAATTGATGAGAGTAGATAAGGTGTTTTGAAGTTAGGGGGAAAGCATCAGTCTTTTACCATTAAGTATGATGTTTACTGTGGGTTTTTAGCAGATGCTCTTTATCAGGCTAAGGAAGTTATTTTGTATTACTAATATGTTGAGTAGTGTTGTTTTGTTTTATTTTTAATTGACACATAAACACTGTACATACTTACTAGATACAATGTGATGTTTAGATACATATATACATTGACTGATGATTAAAGTAGTAGACCCATCCGCTTAAACACTTATCATTTATTTGTGGTGAGAACATTCAAAATCCTGTCTTCTAGTTATTTTGAAATATACAACACATTATTGTTAGCTACAGCTACTGTACTGTGCAACAGAACACCAGATGTTGAATGTTTTTAATTGTAAAGAGATGCTGGATTTTGTAAAATACTTTTTCTGCACCTAATGATAATCAATTTCTATAGAAGTTTTTAAACCAACAAATCATTTTCTTTCCCTGTTTCTACATCCCTCTCTCATGAACTCACACAATCTCTGTAAAAGCATATTATATTCTCAATATCAAAACTTGCTGAAGGGTGGATGAGTAAATAGTCAAGACATCTTGATCCCAGTTACCTTTGTACCCAGTTGAGTTATAACCAACACTCCTCCCAAAAAGTGGCAATTAGAGGTCAAATATGTTTTTCATGGACAGAGGCTATGTATGATATATGGAAAGTACTCCATAATTTTTCTTCCTTTATTCACTGTATAGTGAAAATAGCACAAAATGAGAAGATTATGCGGGAAATATACTAAGGGTGTATGCAGCTAAAATAAAACAAAATGAGCAAAAGTTTATTTACACAATAAATGTGTTAAGGTCTACTTCATTTGCTTAGTACTTTGTGGTACAGTATTCTGTATTTGAAAATTCTCTTTCATGTTAATTTTTCGAGGCTTCTCATATCACTTTTCATTATTTCAGGAGTCTGGGTGGCGACCATTTTGCCTGCCTCGCTAACGTGTGTGAGCTATCTGTTCCACATTTTGGTCTGTTACAGGTAAGATCACTTTCAGAATCATTTGTGCATCTTTCACCAGGAATATGTATGACATCATAGAAAAATAAGAAAATATAGAAAGAAAAATAGGCCAGGTACAGTGGCCACGCCTGTAATTCTAGCACATTGGGAGGCCTAGGCAGGAGGATGGCTTGAATCTAGGAATTTGAGACCAGCCTGGGCAATATAGTGAGACCCTGTTTCTACAAAAATAAAATAAAATAAAATAATTAGCTGGGTATGGTGGCATGCGCCTATAGTCCCAACTACTTGGGATGCTGAAGTGGGAGGATTGCCTGAACCCAGGAGACAGAGGTTGCAGTGAGCTGAGATGGGAAAGAAAGAAAGAGAGAGAGAAAGAGAGAGGAAGGGAAGGGAAAAGTCAGGAAGGGAAGGGAAGGGAAGAAGAAAGGAGGGAGAGAGAGAGGGAGGGAAAGAGATTGAGGGAAAGAAAGAGAGAGGGAGGTGAAGGAAGGAAGGGAAAGAGAAAGAAAGAAAGTCTCTGGGATCAGAAAGACTTGATCATCTGCTAATTGCTTGGTCAAGTTATTTAATTTTGTTGATTTTCAGCTTTCTCAACTATAAAAATAGGAAAGAAGGAAGGAAGAGGAAGGAAAGAAAGGAAGGAAGGAGGGAGGGAAGGAAGGAAAAAAGGAAGGAAGGAAGGAAGGCAGGCAGGCAGGCAGGCATGCAGGCAGGCAGGCAGGCAGGATGGCAGGCAGGCAGGCATGCAGGATGGCAGGCAGGCAGGCTGGCCGGCTACACATTATCTCATCTGTCAGATTCAGTCACTATTATGACTCAGTAAATACATATTATTTTTACAAGATGTAATCTGGACTAAAGTTCAAGACTTTTAAGGCAACTTGGAGATCCTCGGTGAGCTGCAGTCGGCACAGGGAGGCTAGACTGCCCACCATCAGCCCTGCAGGCCTCCCTGTGCTATCTTTGGGACTCTAATTACTCACAAAGAGCTATCAGTTATGGGCACTACTTGATGTCCCATGTCTTTTCCAGAAAGCACATAAAGAGGCTCTGGGCAGGAGATAAACACTTTCTGCCTTTGAGGTTCCGTAACCCGGCCTCGTCGGAGAGCGTGGTGAGTCTGCCGAGTCTCTTTCTGATCTAGACTAAGCCCTATGCTAAAACCTGAGGGTGAGCATGACACCTGCCTCGCTGGGTTTGTGGGTGAACTTGCAATGAGAAAGGGATGCTAGGCACATGTGGCAGAGGTTATGAAGTTTTCCTCGTGCTCTGAGACCGCTTTTTCCTTTTAAACCTCAGGTAGCCATTGCAAGGTACTCTGGCTGGCAAATAGCCTATATTCTATGGGGTAAGTGCCATTAGGTGACCCATTCAATTCATCACACATCCTCTCATCACCTGGGGAGTCCTGGCTGTGAGTGGGGAGGAAAGAGGTGGTCAGAAGCAGCCCTAGCCTCTGTCCTTGAAGGGCTGTCAGGACAGAAGGCGAAACTTAGTCTCAAGGTCCTCCTCACCACCGTCCTGAACCCAGGCAGTGTGTATGCTAAGGGTTGTAGTGACCCAGAGGAGACTGTGACTATCCAGCCCCAGGGCAGGTTTCAGATGCCTTTTAGGGGAGTTAACACTCGAACTGCACCTGACAGGTGGAGTAGGAAGTGAACGGGAAGGAAGGTGAGGCCTTTCCAGGCAGAAGAAACAGATAAGCAAGCGTGCCAGGGTGTCTGGTGGGAGGAGGCTAGAGGGTGGCCTGCAGGGAGGGGTATGGGGGTGGCTCACGAAGAACCTTGAGTTACCAGCAGCTCTCCTTCGCTCCCAGGCTACTTCATCATTCACGTGGTGCAGAGCCTGTGTGGCATGGCAATCATGTACGGCCTGGTGCTGCCCATCGTCCACAAACAGGGCCTGGAGATGCTGCGAGGGCTGGGCATCGGGATGTAAGTGCTGGGCGGGTGTCCTGTCATTGCCATGTTCTGAGAGCTGGGGTGCAGTTCGAGCTGCTATGTGAACACATACATGATCTTGGCCCTGACCTAAAGATGGGCCGTCATAGCAATTCACAGGGAGGGAAAACAGCGTTCACAAAAGGCTGCGTCTTACACCATTCCGTTACGCCCTCACAACCATGTGTATATGTGTGGGATACATGTATGTCCATTTTCCAGCTGGGAAAATTGAGGTTTAGGAAGGTAAAATGGGAGGCAAGGCAGTATGATGGAAGGAGGCAGGGGATCCTGGTAAAGCTTTTGGATCTGCTGTGTGACCTGGGGTAAGTTACTCCACTTCTCTGGGCCTCAGTTTACATATTGGGAAGACAAAGTGAATGTTGGCTTCATTGAACATTTAGTATGTACCTTTTCTCATAACAGCCTATGAATTTGGTGCTTGTGTTACCTTCCCTTTTGCACACCAGGGAACAGAGGCACAGAGAGACTAAGCATTTCCTCCAAGCAGGGGCAAGACTCAGGATTCAGAGCTGGGCAGTCTGAAACCAATGCCTCCTTTTAGCCACTATCTCTCATTGCCACTCAGGGGATGTCAACATGGCATGCAGTGCTCTCTGGGGACCCTTCCTGCTCTAGGCTTCTTGATTCCATACTTGCCTCAAGCCACCTGTGAGTTGGGGGCAGAGCCTGTCCTGTCCACTCTCTTGTGGTCTTCTCAGGAACTTCCCAAAACCCCATTCCATTCTTTAGTCCCCAACCTGTTAAACTGCTCACCCAGTTGCCACCCCTGGAGAAAGGGACATCAGTGAAATCTTGGAGTAATGGTCTGTGATCTGGAGCCGCAAGACCTGACGTGTGGTCTTGGGAAAGTCACCTCCCCTTTGTGAGCCTCGTTTTTCTCCTCTGCACAGTGAGCAGGGGAATCCTTTGTAAGCATAAAGCATGGAGCTCACATTACCATTGTTCCGCTGGGTGGTCAGCCTCTCTCCTCTCTCTCACTGGGCATCAGAGAAGGGCCTGGCAGAGGGGAAAAGGCCACCTCAGGAGGGCTCCACCCTGTGTTTCAGCCTCACCATATCCATTGTTGTGGGTCTCATGATCCTGCAGATGTGGATCGCCACCAGCTTCTTCCTACAGCCAAAGCTGGGCACAGCTGACAAGCAGAAGCCCCTGGCTCTCAACAACAGGTGATGGTGAAGGAGGGAATGAGGGAATTGTAGGCCTTTGCCTTTGGCTGTCTCTGAGTCCCTCCCTGTCGCCCATGGCAGGTTCCTGGGCAGGCCCCACACTCTCTGCGAGGGCCAGGTACAGTGGGTCAGTGGTGGGCTCTGGAGCTAGACTGCCAGGGTCTACATCCTGGCTCTACACCTTAGGAGCCATGTGATGTGGAAGCTTACTATGAACCTCAGTTTCCCCATTTACAAATAATTGTGTATATCTCAAAGAGGCATCGTGAGGATGAAATGTGTTAAAATATGAACTTAGTAGTGCTCGGCACATGGAAATCCTTTCTAATTCGTTCATTCAAAGCCATCCATTCATTGGGGGAACAACATGGGCATGAGGGTAAAGAGATCATCCCAACACAATCTGCCTGTGAGAAGCTCGGTCCACTGGAACAGACAGCAGGCACATAAACAACAAGGACAGAGGATGCCAGGGAGTGCAAAGAAATACAAGAGAAACCGGAGGAGAGGCAGGAGTGGTTAATGCCACTGCAGATGGGACTCTGGAGATGAGGTCAGCAGGACAGTAGGATTTCTACAGGCAGAGAAGAGGAGAGGGTATGGCCAGCAGCCAACACCACAAGGACAAAGGCAGGAAGCCACAAAAGGGCAGGATATGTTAGGAGAAGAATGAGAATCCTAAATGGTTGTCATGCAATGGCCTTAATGAGTGACAGGAAGGGGACACAAAGAAACAAGACCAGAAGACCTCTGGGGGCAGTGAGGGGGCTGAAACTCAGGATGCGAAGTTTGGGCTTTATTCTAGAGGCAACAGGAAACCACATGATCAGGTGGTCATTTGGGAAATTTCCTTTGGAAGATGTTGGAACAGCTGCGGCTGGGAATAGGTCCCTGGTGCAACAGACATGGAGAAGCCCCACTTCTGCCATAATCACTGACCCAGCTGCAGCCCCACACAATTTCTTATCATGTAGGAAGCCTCAGACCCCAAGGATTGCATGAAACAATGGCTGTCCCTACTGCCATTCATCCTTCACTGAGCTTAGCAGCCCCCACACTACCTGAGCCATTCCTCACACCAGTGCTGTGAGGTGAGGGCAGTCAGCTCCCGTTGATGGCATGAGGTCACAAAGCTTTGAGCCTGGAGCTGCAGGATCTGACCCTGGGTCTGGGGGACTCCAGAGTCCCTCAGCCCAGCAACCTTGCTGTATTGAAAGGTGGTGCCTTGGGCCGGCTTCTGTTTGTAGGAAAGCATTCCACAACTTCAACTACTTCCTGTTCTTCTACAATGTGCTGCTGGGCCTGGGTGCCTGCCTCTCCAGGCTGCTCATCAGTTGCCTCCTGGGCACGTGGCTGATTGCCCGCATTGACAGGACCATCATGCCGAGTGGCTATGAGGGGGCAGACATGGGTAAGTGATCAGCACCCATCTGGCCACATCCTCTGGAGAGGGCTGGTCTTTCACCTTTGTGGCAATTGCCTGGGAAGACAAGTATCTTAAGCCCGGAGTTCATGCCTTTTATTTATGCTCAGAGTTTATCTTCCAGCGGAAGCTTTAAGGCTGAGTAATAAAGACACATGCAGCCTGCTGGTCAAAAGGGAGTTCAAGGCTATTAAATTCCTGCCCATTTGGCAGACCTTTGAGGTATAAAGGAAGAGGAGTCAAAGGTAGTCACATTCTATCTGAACACTTAGAAGTTAATTTATGAATGCACAGCTCTGAAAATTTTTAGAAAGAACACATCTCAGAATTATTAGTGTTGTTAGTTGGAAACAGTGCAGAAGATGCTCTGTTCAGTTGAAATGCTCCAAATTCAAAGCCATTTCTGAGGAAGCAAAAGTAGTTTTTGTTCTATTCTGAGCCCACAGTCATTCATTCACTCATCTATTCAATAAATGTACTGATGCTTGCTTGGAATTAGCCACAACAGCTCCTAACCCTTTGAGCTTTGAGCTCCCCATAAAATGGGCAGATTAGAATATGATTTGTAAGAGTACTGCAGATCTTTATAACTCATTTTCTAGATTCTCAGAAAAGACTCAGACACCATTGGAGAGCAAACTGGCTCTACAGTTATATCATGAAAAGCACAAATCGGGCCATGTCAGGAGGTACTGCCTGGCCTGACCTACCTCTGGATTTCAGGGTTCAGTGCATGGATCGGCATGCTCTACGTGGACCATTATCACACCAACCCTGTGCTTGTCAGCTTTTGCCACATTCTGATCACAGATCACAGGGAGAGGAAGCTGCAGCAGACCACCAAATACTGGTGCCTAAATCAATCGGCAGGTAACGGCTTCTGTTTAGACCTACGCTGGATTCAGACAACAGGAAATAAATATCCTCAGACTCCCTGGGATCCCTGAGGTACCCCACAGTCCGCTGTTCCTGCTCCTTTTCTCCATATTTTAGGCCCTGGATCTCTTGGAACTAGGAAGCCCAGGAGGCTTAGCTCCCAGTCAACTTGACTATGGGAACCACTCAGGCCTTGTGTCCTTGTCTTGTTAACTGGCCTCCTGCCTTGTTCCTGGAAGTGAACTCTAGTTCTGCTAGTGGAGTTCTCCATTTGTTTGAGTCTCCAACCCATATCCCAGGCTACATGGCAGATGCCCTCCAAGATGACGCTACATTTTGATGATTCTTCCTTGTTGCTTACCACAAGATCTCTGAGGCTCTCTGCCCCTCTAGGGCTCAGACTCTCTAGGGCTCAGATTAATAATGTTCATTGCTATTTCCAGCACCGTAGATACTCAATTCTGAGGGACAACTTACATTCCTCCAACCTCCCTCATGTCCCCAGGAGTCCCAGTCTAGCTCCTTCTACCACATCTTACACATTCCAGGCAGCTCTTTCAAATGCTTTGGAGAGGGAGTTCACCTCCCTGCGACCCCTCTTTTCTTCAGTTTGTCTGCTCTGATTCTATCATAGGTCCCCGTGTCTCAGCTAGGTCCAGAACAAGATGGCTCCTATTGCAGACCCTAATCAACAACCCAAGACTCGTCATGCTCAGAAAATCAAAATTAGGGCACAGTTCCCAGGAGTCCCAAATTCTGATGACATGTTCGGACAGCTGATGCTGGCCCCCATCATCTGCTCCAGGGCCGGGCTAGCACATCTGCCACCAAGAGAGGCTCAGTCTAACCGGCAGCTGTCTCCTGCAACGAAATGGGATGGCACAGGCACCATCCATGCAGATGGTAGACAACATTGGCTACTCATGGGATGGCCACCTGGACTGAGGGATGAAGCCTCAGGACTATTTCACTCCCTTGGCAAAAAAAAGATTAAAAAACTAAAGAAAAGTCTGTTGAACAAACTTTGCCCATTAATGACTTGCACTATCCATTGTGGGTAGGCAGCCTTGAAGAGTTACCTGGTAAAAAGCACTTAGTTTACCTACAAGGCAGAATTTTATGTCACTGGAGAAGATAGTCAAATATGTACATCAGGAGAGTTTAACCATCAGATCCCATTTTTGTCTGGAACAGAACGTGGATTTCAATCCGACAGCATCCTCATTGCTTCCGTCTTGCCAGGCTTTATCACAGATGGGAAAGAAGGAACTCCATGATCCTGGCCCCCAATTTTGTTGGACCTTTGCAGGCGCACAACAGGCTTTCTCTCCCATCACCACTGGTATGGGAGGGGAATGGATCAGAGCTAACTTGGGCCTTAGTCACACAGCAGATGCACAGATTCTCTCTGAGAAGGGTGAGATTACTTGGAAAAGCCACGTGTCTGAAGATACAAAGACAGCGTGGGCAGGTATTCTAGTAGGGGATCACAAGAGTAAAGTTGTATGAGCTAGAAAGCCTCAAGCATGTTTGAGGAGGGTGAGCCATGTGACATGTCAGGTTACAGAGCTCTAGGGACTGGCCAAGACCATCCCAAGGCAGGCCAAATGTCATGCCAGGAGGCGTGGACATTTGTCCTGTGCTGCTTAGGAGGCTGAAGTGGGAGGATTGCTTGAGTCCAAGAGTTTGAGGTTACAGTGTAAGCTATGTGAGCTATGACTGTGCCACTGCATTCTAGCCTGGGTAACAGAGTGAGACCCTGTCTCAAAAAAAAAAAAAAAAAAAAAGTATAAAACTTAGAAACATAATGAGATAAGCCCAAAAGAGTCCATTCTGTATGGTTCCATTTAAATAAAAGTTTTAAAGAAGCAAAACTAATTCAGAAGTTAGAATATTTGTTCTCCTGGCGGGGGAGAGGGCAATGACTTGCGATGGGTACACAAAAGGGGCTTCTAGAGAGTTAGTAATGTTCTAGTTTTTATGGGTACTGGGTACCGGGCACGTTCCTTTCAGATAATTCATTTAGCTATATAAGTGATTTTCATATCTTTAGATATGTTTGCTATGCTTCAATATGTACATCCAATCAGTTGGTTAAATAACGTTTTTTTCTGGTTAGTCACAGGTCAGATGGTTCAAGACTCGAATGACAGGGTCTAGATTCATATCCTAGATCTTCCTATCTTGGAGATCTTGGCCAAGTTACTGACTCTGAACTTCAGTTTCTTAATCTGTAAAATGGGTAAATTAAGGTACCTCTCTTATGGTTATTGCAGGTATTAAATCTTCTCTTTAAATATTTTCTCTTATCATGGTCCTCGTTTTCTTTTTCCAGCTAAAATGAATCTAATAATTGTTATAGTACTTCCCCTTATTAATAAAACCAGGACCAAAGAATGAGAATGGAAGAGTTTTATACTCACCATTTCTTAATTTCTGATTCTAGTCTGGACAGAACAATCACTGATTCTAGAAAATTGGCATAGGGAGCATTTAGTAGCAATTTTAACATATCACTGCCAAAGGGAGGGATTCTCTGAAAAGGCGCTGGTGTCTCACATATATGGGAAACCCTAGGCCATGTCTAGTGCCAACCACAAGCATTTTCATCTCTGGCCAGGCAAGCCTTGATCCTGAATTCTGAGCTCTGAACCTCTTTTAAACTGAGAAAGAGGTGGTCTCTTCCAGAGTCTTTCAGCTTCTTACTTACAGACAAACACTACCGTGTGCTGTCTCCTAGCAGAGATTGGTTTTAACCAAGGCAAATAAGATGGGATGGACTTTGTGGACCATGAAGGCTCAATGCTACATCTCATATATCCTACCGCCTTTCAGAATATTTAATTGTGCCGCTCCTGGCAGCCCTGGAGTTGGAGTCCTTGTAGAGAGGAGAAACTGGCATTGAAGGAAGTAGCTGAGTTTCGCTACTCTGTATGGGGCGTTCCCATTGCTAAGAGCAACCTCCCTTCCCTGGAAAGAAAAGCGTGGGCGGGGCCAGCATAGTCCCGCCCCTCCGCGTTGCTTTGGAGACCATGGGCGTCCAGCTGCAGTTGCTGGATCGGCCCTGGCTGCCTTGAGAGGTGCTTTCTGCAGGTGGGGACGCGGCCAAGCCAGGCGCAAGACCTCCCTCCAATCTGCCGGGCTCAGGGGGACGTCCAAGGGCTGCTTAGTCTAGTTGAGGAGCTGAGGAGGAGGACGGGAGGGGCTGGCTGAGTCTTCTCAGCACACAGTAGGCGCCTAATTAGCGTGAATCAGGCCACTCTCCCTCCACTTCGCCCTCCCAGTGTCCCGTGGAGGGTGGGTTAGGGTCCCGGATGCAAGTGCAGCGCTGCGCTGGGGTTCCAGGCCTAACTGACACCTTGAGCGCTGTTGACTTTACCCGGAAGAGCATGGCAGAGTGAGGCACAAACAATAATCCTGTGTTATTCACGTTCCCAAAGTCCCTTCGGATTTGCGCCCTGCACGGCGGGGAGAACGGGACTCCTCCTCGAGTTCGGGGCTCATCTAAGGTTAGTTTCATTGTTTCGTTGAAAGTTAAAACCCTGAGTCACCTGCCCCACCCCCTAAACCCCCAGCAGAGGGTCCCTCCCCGGGAGTCCCGCCCTGGGGTGCCCCCTCGAGGCCAGACGTCGTCCCGCCTGGACCTGAACCTGAGCTTGGGTCAGGTGGTTTCCCAGCCTCAGAAGTTGAAGTTGAGACGCCAGGACGCGTTTCCTGGACGACGGCTTCCCAGCAAGGACATCCAGCCAGCAGCCAAGATGTCGTCAGTGGGGAAGGTGACCCAGGTTCCCAGTGGGAAGGCCTACCAGCAGATCTTCCAGGCAGAGGTACGGCCTGCCCTCTGTCCCCCTGTCTCCATCCCCCTTCCCTTGCTTTCTCCAAAACCTCCCTCCCTCCAAGGACTTCCCTACTGGAAACTGAAAAAACAAGGGCTTTGAGATTACTTTGATTTTAAAAATAATTCTTACTGGTTCTTAAATTGTACCAATACAAAATTAGAATGTCGTTTCTTGAAAATTAGAAAACCTAAATTACAATTTTAAATGTAAATTACTCAGAAATAGCCTGGATGGAACCACTGGGTGACCTCTGTCTTTTTCCCATGCATAAAAGCATGTCTAATTTTTGTATGTAAAAAATAGGGTTTATTCTGTATCAGTATTTTGAAATCTGCTTTTTCTCCGTAACGGTATCTCACAGATCCTTTTCCATGCCTGTGGGCACCCATGTATTTCACCATGCTGAGTGGCTGCCTGCTGGTTGATCTAGGACTCCCATAACTGTATTAAAGTAAAGCCCTCTTGTCAACAGTACAGGTTGTTAAAACTGTCTTGTCCTCTCTAAAGCACTGTATAGACAAAACAAGATCTTAAAAGAAACACACAGACCTGAATCCTTCCTTTGAAGTTCTGTATTGCTTATTTAAAAGGGATTTGCATTCCTAATTTGAGCCTTAAATAATTCTCTGTAGAACATCTGCAAATTATAAAAGTATAAAGAAACCAAAAAATAATTACATCACTCACATGATCCTGCTGTCTGTAAGGCCATTCTTAACTCTTGGAATATTTCATTCAGGGCCTTTTTCTATGCATTTTAAATTTTGAGATCATACTGTATAATTTTGGTTATAATTTTTAATGTATGCTTTTAAGTGCTATGTTTAACCATATATCCTAAGCATTTCCTCAGGTCATAAAAAAGTCTTTGTGTAGCCCATCTTTAATAAATGCCTAACGTTCCATCAAAGGGACATGCTATGTTTACTCAGCCAATCCCTACTACTAGTCAGTTCTGTTTTTCCAATTTCTTGTGATTATAAAAAAGGCTGAGATGTTCATCTCAATCTTTGTTTAAGTATCTTAAAAACAGGCCTTCGTTGAAGAGGCTGAGTGACTGTGACAGGGAGGAGTGCTCTCCTGTGGGGAGGGCCCTGGGGTTGAAGGCCTTCCTGAAAAGTGCCATCCCCTGGAGGGGAAGCTCCCTCCAGATGTCTTTCTAGACAGCCACCATCAGCCTGAGAGTTCTGGGAGTCAGCAGCTCTGACCTCTTCCCCATCCCTGGCCTTCTGGATTCAGGTGCAGCTGGTCCACTCCCTGGCAGCCACCAGGAAGCGGGCTGCAGAGCATGCTGTGACCCTGAAGAGTGGCAGGACGCCCATGATGAGGAAGGTGGAGGCTCTTGAAGGGGAGGTGATGTCTCCTCGACAGCAGAGGTGGATGCATGGCCTCCCCAACGACTGGATTATGGAAAACCCTGTTCTCTACAGGTAGGTTCTGCTGTGCATGCCTTGCCCTCATGCATTAGAGTACCCTGAGCCTTCAAAAACTCAAAAAGAGCTGGCACAAGATGAGTAGCCTGTAGGAAGAAAGTGTCTAGTACCACCCCTAAAGGAGGGAGGTTAATATCTACTTTGCAGGATGGTTTGCTTCTCTCGCCCCCACTCCCACAATCATTATTGATTAAGTGCCTAGGGCCAGGCACTGGGTATGGGGATCCCGCCCCTAAGAAACTTGAGACCTCAAAAGTAAATAAATAAGCACATCCCCCCAATGGCAGAAAGGCTCTGACCAAGGGGACAGGGGTCAGAACTGTATGGGACTGTTCTCAACAGTATTCTCTGAGGAAGGACCTCAGCTGAAACCAGAGGGTGCAGTATGGGGACAAGGCTCTGAGAAAGGTGGTCTTGGTTCACTCCAGAAGGCTGAAGGTGAGGGACCCTGAGAGAGGGCAGATGAGGCTGGGAGCAGCCTTTCAGGCCAAGGTCAGTATTTTGAATATTACCACTGTGAGTAGCTGATTTGCATTTTTGAAGTCCCTCAGGCAGCTCTGTGCAGAATGTAGGGGGTTTCAGGAAGAGGCAGAAGGCCAGGGCACAAGACACTGCAGTTGTACTTGTAACCTCGCAGGCGGCTGTGAGAGGGAAAGTAGAGGTAGGCCTTGGGTGTCTCTTGGAGGCAAAACTCATGAGACCTAGTGATGAATTGGAGGGGCGGGGAGGGCTCCTGAGTGCCCTTGGTCTCTGCCCTGAGTGCTGGGCGAACAGTGGAAATGAAGTTCCCTGAGATGAGAGCAGGTGGGGTCAGGTTTGGAGATCAGGAGTTTCTGGTGAACTTCCAAGTTCAGAAGTTCCTAAGCATGCCATTTTAGTTTGCTGAGCTCTCACTCTCAGCTATGGGGAAAAGGAAGAAACAGATCCCTTCCCAGGGTTCTTGAGAGAATAGAGCAGGAGCAGAACTTCCCTTAGGCACTTTGAGTTCTACATAAGCCATAAGCCCTTGCTGGGCCTGGGACTCTGAGACAGAAAGCAGGCCTCCTCTGCCAGTCTTGGTTGTTCCTTTCACCCTTTTTGGGGCAGGGACAGACCCATTGTTGAGTACAGTTCTCTGCCCTGACCTGGCCTTGGAATTTTCCCAGGGAAGCCACTCCCAAAGCTTCTGACCCTCAAGCCCTTAACTCCTGACAGATGGAAAAATCCACTGGCCCACTCAAGCCCAGACTTGAGGTCAGCATTCTTTAGCCCATCTCGCCCTGCCCGATGCCCCCTAGATGGGGGTCCAGGGTTACAGGCAGCCTGATGCCCCAGGTGGGAATCTAGAGGAACTATCCATTGGGGCCAACTCCCTCTAGACACTTTGCAGGGCTAAGCAGAGGCAAGACTGGGCTGAACACATGAGTGGCAGAGCCA